ATATCCATAGTTAATTTTTGAAATGTGCCTTAAAAGAATGAACTCATTCAACTTTGAGAATAATCTGTCAGAAGTTAAATACATTAAATTAGGTTAACATAAATATCCTTTGAAAACATCTAGGATTTTGAGTTACATAATTAAGTAATTTAAAGTCTGTAAGAAAAAGATTAAACCTTGTATAATTCTAAACTTGAAGAAAAAATGTCATTTCTCCCAACTTATTAAATTGTTTGTCACCTGATTGCCTTTTAAACAATCATATTTGACTCCATTTATGCAGAATAACTAACAAATGTTAAATCATCTAAAACACTTTTGTGAACCTCAGTATTATCCATCAGTGGGAACATTTTATCCAGAGTAAGCTATTTATTTTCATCTAAAGGAACACCTTCCAACTTCACTTTTTTTTTTTTTACAGCCATTAATATAAGAGTTCCTAAATAATGTTTAAAGAACAGTGAACATTTTATTAAAGCAAACATTAGTTCAGTTTAATGGAGGTAATTGTAAGTGATAAGACAGAGCAGGTTATCTCTGTGTTGTTTAAACAGAAGGAGCTACTTTGCACCATTTCCAGGAGCCATCTGTAGAAGAGAAGGGTTTGCACCTGTCTGTCCACACTAATTATAGATTAGGGCCAAAGAAATGAAATTCGAGGAGGTTTTCAGCTAATGAAATACATACTGATTTTATTGTAAATGTGTTTTATGTAAAGAGGGTGGTGGTTGAGTTAGTGAATAAATCGCTATGTAGCTGCTAGGCACTTGGTTTTGATGCACAATTCTGCTGCATTAACCTTTGGTATTAAAAAAAAAAAAGATGAACAACTTAGAAGTGGATACTAGTCTTTGTTTGCATCCATAGCTACAGTTTAGTGAGCATCAGTGAGGTTCAGTGTGCAATTTAGAAATGTGCTGTAAAGCAGCTTAAATGTTCAGAATATTCCAAAATGCAGATGAAGTAGAAGGAGGTAGGCTCTGTTTTAACTTATGCATATAAAACATTAGAAAATTAGAAAACCTTTTTTCTTTCTGCATTTCAGCTTCACATACATGAGAAATTAAAGCAAAATGAGTGAGGAATGCATTCTGCAATAAAAGGTCACATGAATGTCTACCACATCTGTTTATAGTAATTATGAACATAATTAACATAAGAATTACAAATGAAATAATGACAAGCTGAGCAATGAGATATTATGCCATAATGGTCATATGTTGGAATTCTCACATTATAGCACACTAGAATTCACATACTCAAAGAAGAAAATGCTAGATTTTTATCTGAATTAATGCTTCAAAATTTATCTGCCTGGGACAGATGGACTTCTTGCTTTTATAGGAAGGTAACCTATTATTAAGAAAAGAACTAGTTGAAATTAAGATTTCTAGTTTCTAGCTTGGATTTTAAGACAGCTGTGATTCTGTTGTACACTTATTCTGTGATTGTGCTTCCTGATTATTGTATTGCTTTTTTTTTTTTTTTTTTAATTGAGAGCTTTGCAGCAAAGTGTTTGCTTTGGAAGAGAGTCATGGATTCTTCCCATTTGAGAATTGCTTGATCTTTTCTATAACCGTGAGCCAAAAGTCAATGAGCAAACAAGATAGTAATAGAAATACTGTGCCTTTACAAAATAAGAACATTGGCAGATTAGCCTTTGTGTGCAGTTTTCTTCATACCTTTAGTACTTGGGATACCTTTTAAAGAAAAATGTAAGCCTTTTCTGGGTTTGAAAGGAGTCATAGTAAAATTTTTTTAAAAACAGCATTTCTTAAAAGAGCATGTAATAGAAAAGTCAGTGGGCATTTGTAGGTTGTAGTTTTTTCCCTTGAGTTTTGTTGGATTTTTAGGTGTTTGTATGTATTCTGTGCCCAAACTGGTCTATCTAAAATGTAGTAAAGGGGAAGGTATGGGTGGTTGCTTTTGGTTACTCTGAATGCAGTTTTCTATAACAGAGAAAAGGTGAAAAGTGACCTTTTATGAGAGCTAAAATGATACACTAGAAATCTGTTATTAATTTAAAACATGTAAGAATGACAGATTTTCACCCATTTAGAGCTCACTTGATTTTGTAATGTAACCTGCCAAGTGTTTTACATCCTATGCTTGCACCTTCTCTAACTATTGAACCTGGTCACTTTTTTGAAGATTTATGGAGAAGTGTTACCTTGTTCTCGTCTCAGTGATACCACGAGGTTTTCCACATTATTGGATTACTGGAGGATTGTGGCAGACCCCTTTTTATCTGACATTCGTTGCATGACAAGATTTTCACACATGCCCTTCCCCCCACCTATGCCCAGATTTTTTCACTTTGCGTTACCTATCAAATTTCCCTTAATTCTCTTCTTGGGGTGGGAGAATGGGGGGAGGGATGGTGTCCAATACACACAAGGCTGCTTTTTGGCTAAGTGATTTGGAAGGGAGTGCTTGATGATTACAGGGTGTCTGTTCTCATTTTCTAAAGGTCCTCTGAAAATTGGTCTCCCTTAAAACGAGGCTACTAATTCTCTGTTTTTCTGCCTTTTTTTTTTTCTTCATTAGCCTTACTGCCCCCCCCCACCCCATTGTGTTCCTTTCTGTTGAGGTCCCATACATAAACTGTTTTATCATCCCAGTTTCACAGAAGCTGGTGTCACAGTGTGTGCTGTGAAAAATTATTTACTTTACTGGCTCCTTCATTCTGAACTCAGTCTTCATTGCAGAGAGAGCTTCTTAACCAAGTTTTGGAGCCTTGAAACACCACACAACCAAATACTACCCCCTCCCCAACAAATAACTTTCTTTGCCGCATTATCTGTACTCCATTAAGGGTCTGATCAGATGTTCAGATTGTTTGATGGGTGCATTTAAAAGTGAAAGGGGCTCCTAAGGGACTACTCAGGTGTATCTCCCTCCTGACCCTGATGGGGAAGAGGATGAACTCTGGTCTGACGGATGAGCATTAGACCCTGCTTGTTCTCTGATTGATTCTCCGGCTCTGGGTGGGTGAAAAGCTGGGAGGCAGCTCAGGCCGAGATTGATTGCCTCAATTTCAAATTCCCACCTCCAAAATAGACTCTCAGATGTACACAGAAGGAACCCCCTCCCCCAACACCATTTCTGGAGGTGGAGCAGGTGTCTAAGAATCACCTGTAGCTACCAATCACAAGTGGTCCTTATCACAGTGATGCTGGCTGCAAGAGTCTTCAGCTGGGATACATTAAAGCTCAGGGAAAAGAGAGATTTTATATCTGCGTCTTTTCCTCTCTATGTGTGGGTGTGTGGGGGCTGGAATTTAGGAATATTGGGGTCAGCAAAGAAAGGGACAAGAACTCCCACTTGAGGTTGGTCTGGAAGGCTGTAACTGCTGTGAGGACTCACTAGGTTAGTTTTGCAAATTGTGGCTATTTGGGTGGAGGTGAGATGGTGAATGTCTCATTTTGGTAAGCTCTGCCAAAAAAAAAAGAGCTCTCTATTCCCCTCTGACCTTGACAGAACCTCTAAAATGTACACAGCCTGGCCCTGGAGTAGGGAAGTACAGTTGGCTGCTTTGGATCCCCACCCCCCTCTTTTCCTGGAATAGGAGCAGATTTGGGCATGCAGGTGACCCCCACAAAAAAAAAGAGCTCTCTATTCCCCTCTGACCTTGACAGAACCTCTAAAATGTACACAGCCTGGCCCTGGAGTAGGGAAGTACAGTTGGCTGCTCTGGATCCCCACCCCCCTCTTTTCCTGGAATAGGAGCAGATTTGGGCATGCAGGTGACCCCCAGCCCTGGCTCCCATCCCCAGCCAGCCTTAGGGTGGCTCTCCCACTTTCCGGTCCCATCCTGAGGCCTGAGCCCCCGCCCCCTCCATCCTTTTCGGTCTCTTCCCTCTCTCTCTCCCACTTTTCCTCCCTCTCCCGCTCTGTCTCGCACGCACCCTCTGTTTATTTTCCTGCCTCCATCTGGGCCCTGCTGATATTGTAATCACCCTGATGCACGCTGGCTCCCCTCCTCTCCCTCCTGCGCTCACACACTCACTCACACACAATGTGCCATCCTGACAAGCCTTTTACTTCTGATAAGCTCCGATGTGTGTTTAATGAATACAAAGCCGCGGTCTGGGTGCCGCCGCGGCCGCGGCCGCCTCTCCCGCGCTCCGTTGCCAG